CCCCCCTTCAGGGCTGGGCCCACTCCCCCCTCCCGGACTGTTGTTGAGCCAAAGCAGTGTGTGTGGGGGGGTGCTATCACCGTGCTTCCCCCTCCCCCCCACAGCATGGCAGCACTCCACTGCACTGCCCCCTGCTGTCCATCACGCTTTACTCACACTCTGATTGGCTGCCAGACAACCAACTGGAGTGCAAATAAAGCATTATGGACAGACAGACTAACGCGCATATACACACGTACACACACGAGCCTGAGTGAGCGAGTAATTTTGAAGACATTTTGAGCCTACCGTGTCACTATGGCCCCCTCTACATGTGCAGGCAAAGGTGCAATTGAATTTAGTGCAAGATCCACACAATCATGGCAGGAAGCATGACTGGGATTCTGCCCAATCCTGGGCTCCCCCTGCACTCGCAAGAAGCAGGCTCGCACAGCTGGGAGCACCCTTTGCTGAAGGGGTTCCCAGCTATATGGACCATGTGCAGCCAGAACCAGGAACCCCATAGGTTGCGGGACTTGGTTCTGGCTGTGCGTGCAGCACAGCTGGGTCTAAGAGCCCCATGTGGGCCACGGGTTTCATGACCCCTGAACCTTGGCTTCCGGTTTTCATGCTGAGCACCATGCACCCCTGTAGCTAGGAGCTCCTGCTATACATGCAAATTAGAGCTCAATAGCAACCAACTATAAAGTTAGTAAACATTTTCGAGATCTCTCTTTATAACTCACTGGAGTGTTTTTATCACATGATAATTACTTTGCACATATAGCTGGTCTTAAGGTAACTGTGCAACTAACCAGCCAACTGTGCAATACTGTAAAGTGTAGAGGGGTCCTATCCCTTTTATACATGGCCAAGCAGTTATGTAAAAAACCCCAAAAACCAAAGAAAACCAAAAATTGATTAAGAATGCTTACCTTTTCATAAATTTTACTAATCTCCTCATTTGAGCTGAACACCAGCTGTACTGATCCACACCCTGATGCCCATACAATTTTCTGCACTGCTCTAATAACACATATATCAGGGATGTATTTTGAAGCCTGGGGACAAAGAAACAAACCGCAGCAATATTAAAATACAGTTGCTAACATTAAACAGATTCTAAACCACTACAGAAACTAATTTTGTAAAAATATAAATTTGTCAACACTAAGAAATTTCATACTAAAGCAACAACAAAAATTGTGAAACTTTTAGCGTTTAATAGATCACTTTAATCTTAGCAACATTCAGGGTAGTCAAATGTTTGGTGTCTTACATACTGTCTCCCCACCCTGATTGATATTGCTGTAACCAGCGAGTTACACTACCATAAATTCAATTTCATTTTGTTAAGCAACTAATAAATACTAGATCCTGATAAAAAATTGCCACAAAAAGATGAATTGACAATTTTTTAATACAAAAAACAACCTATAAGCTATTTTAGTCAACAGAGGTAGAAATCAAACATATTTACTGGACTCCTTTGCTTTTTAACATTCAACTCCAAAATAACTTCAATTTAAAAACAACAGTTTAAAAAGTAGATAGTTTAATAAAATAGCAAAACTAAATCTGGTATTAAAGAAAAGATAAAAGATATTTGGCATGCTAGTTGTTACCACCAAGCACACTAGCACTCATTCACCTCATTTCTTTAAAAGAAATTTGCTAGATATCAACAGTACAAAACCTACTGCAGATGAGACTACCCATAAAGGTGATGAATTTTGTTAATGTAGGAGTAGATTTCAACAGATTTGAGTATAGATCCTAGTTTACCTCCTAAATCTTTGCAACAGCAGTAACATGTGTCCAACAGAGACCAAATTACTGCAAAAAAGCAATTTAGAACACTAAATAGTGGTGTGAAATTCTTCTTAATTTAAAATAGTGCTGTACACATGAAATTCAACAGTCTTCTTATGTCCCCACAGGCTCTTTAACAAAGGAGAATCAACAAAAGGTAATAAGTAAAAACCACATTTTAGTTTGGAAAACAGTCACATTACAATCTACAACTGAGGCAGAGGAAAATTTAATTTTGTTTGCCCCAGTTATTTAGTTATTTTACAAGAAGCTTCTATAATGTTTCAAACCGAGGGGGAGGGTGTAAAATTTGAGATCATCCTACATTTCAAAATCCGTGGTGCATACATACACACACACAAGCCTTTTAACTTATGCTTATAGGGCTCAGCATGTAAGTGGCCTGATTTTGCAAAGTGCTCAGCATAAAAGCTAACTTAAGACCCAAATATTAAAAAAAAATATTCAGCTTAATATTAACCATACCCACATTTACCACATGCATATACAAATGTATATACAGATAGGAAGGGCCAAATTCTTGCAATTTTATGTTCTACTTTAAATAACTGAAGAACATCAGCCCTAAAATTTATAATGTCAAGGTTTGTTGGTCCAAAGTGATTTTCCCCTAGCTAATCTTTGATGATACAAAAAAATCTCTCCCCCCAACTACTGCAACAAACAGGTTTCAGCTATAATGTACGAAGACAGCCATTTTTTTCCCTGCCAAAGAATGTGATATAGTCATGAAATGTGACAAACGATACTCAGAATTTATAGCACTTTAAACAAAAGAGCAGGTCACATACGATAGATAACGTATGATAATTTGGTCATGCGAAACCACTGGTGGCCTTAATATTGCATATTATGCTGAAGGGAGCTATAAAAAGGCACAATTCCAGCAAGACTGTTTAGAAAGTTTGAACTCAAAAGTTTAAGGAGGAAAAGATAATGTTAATATATTAAAAGATAACCCTTTTGAGATTTTGTGAATTAACAGAATGAATATTTAAGGTTAACTACAAGTGCATATTTCTTAAATGGGAGTTGGAGGGTTTTACTAGCTTATAAAAATCATGTAAATAAAACAGAATATTGCTTCTTCTGAACCAAAAGTCTGGTTAGTTTGATACAATCATCTACAACATTACAAGAAAATTAAACATCACAAAAACCAACTTCCAGTGTATACGCAGGCTTACATAAAAAATTCAAAGCATTCAAAAAATTCTATTCAGTTTAATCCATCTTGCTAACACACTGCCACTTCTAAATTCCCTTTACACAGGTCATAAAATCACCCAGTCACCTTACATTTTTTTTCAAAGACTCATTTCTCTTTCAAAGACCCATTAAGCGAAACAAAGTAACACTGAAGTAGTGCCTACCTTAGCCAATTTTATGTATATAATATACCAGTGATGCAAAAGCCACTTATCTATGCAAGACCCTGTACACTTTTGTACTCACTTGTTCCCCAGGTACCCATATGAAAAGTCTGTATGAAAAATACATTTAATGTTTTCAATAGGAAACAGCAAAGAGCACACAAAGCAGCTAAAATATCTGTTAAACAGATACGAAAATCAATTTCTTGTATTTAAGAACACCTAATAATTGCAAAGAAATAAACTTTATTACACAAAACGTGTGTTTTGCCAAAAATAGCATACTAACCTCATCAGATATTTGCTGTGCAAGACGTATTGCTACATTTCTTAGCATGCATTCTGAAGTTGGATTGGGAATGTTCTGTAGGGCATTTTGTAGCACCACTGCCTGGTCATGGGTAGCTTGGTTTATCTACAAAAAATATTATTTACAGGAAAGAACATGATGAAAATCTTAAGGATGATTATCTGGAAAGGATGAAAAGAAATATTTCTCTTTTTAAAATCAAGGCATACAGAAAAAAAAATATAGTCCATTTAGAGTTCCAACAGTAAAAGTAAAATAAAATTAAAAAAAAAAAATCAGTATGCATATACATACAAGGAGCAAACTGTATTTGCATTTCATTGCTGAAACCTATATATTCGATGCTGCAGTTTTAGGCAAGATCTAAACACTATTTTCAGATATTTAAAGAAATGGAAAAGTGTGAATGAAAAGTTACAAAAATACTAGCAGGGGAATAAAGTGCAATGCCCACAGCACTATTTTTAATTAACTTTTTTCAAAATGAAGGTTTCCCTTACCCTTTCTCTTGCATATAACATTCCAAATTACTGAACTAACTGAACTGAGAAAAAAGGAATCTGGTAAGGAGGAACAGCTGTACTTTCTCAGTAATATGGAGTTCCTGATGAATCATGCATTTGAACCATACACCCTGGACAGGAAATCAAGTGAAGGTGTTGTTACTGAAGAAAAATAGTTTCTGTGGACCTAGAATAAATTGCTACAAATTACTTATTTGCATAGAAGATTGACTTTTATGGAGTATATTACCGGTGAGATTGGGCTTGTACCCTCTACAACTGGTTGACAAGCTTCTGCCACAGCTCGAACATGACCATAGCCAACTGCTGTTAGTAATAGTTTGGCTATTTTTAGAGCATTAAGATAGGCACCCCTGCGAGTTTCCATATCTGCATTTGGCAGGAAGTTATTTCTAGTCAGCATGCTCAACACAAGAGGCAAACCACCGCTTTTTAAAATGTTGTATTGGAAGTCACTGGCATCTTCTCCCAGAGGTGTATTGGCAGGCATTAACAAGGCATAGACCACCTGCAAGAAAAAAACTCAACATATTAGCAAACACATACAATATACCTTCTCTAAAGCATATTCTTAAAAAAAAAAAAAAAGGTCACTAGGGTACATTTTATATAGTACTTTGATACTTTCCCCTATACACACCTCCCACGTTTTACTGTTTCAAGAAGAATTCTGATGTTTTTTAATATACATCAGAATTTGATCAAGTTCTAATACACCATAAAAACATAATCTGAAAAAAATATAAAAATGCAGTTAAAAGCTGACTTCAAGAGAAAATAAACATAACAAACCTCTGTTAGATATAGCACTTGTGAGGCAGAAGGGCCAAAGAAAAGAGAATCAAGGGATGGACTAAGGCTGCTTTCACCAAGTTTTGCATGGTCCAAGCAAATTGCTCTTAGTTTCTCTACTGTAGTGTTATCTGGAATAAAACCACAACCTATGAACATTTTGCCATATCATTACACAAAAACAAGTGACAGAAATTTACAATGAATTCATTCCTATTAACTTTTAGAACTTTCAAAGCACATTACATAAAGTAGAAAATGTAACTAGCAAAGGTTCAGATTCTGCAAAATGTATTGTAATAGGGCAGTACTCAGGAGCTCCTGTTACATGGCCATCAGTGTTGCAAAACAATGTCAGACACCGCACCACTCCTCATTTTCAAATGAGCAAGCACTGACAAATCTTTTCCACTACACCATGCAGGTGTGATTCCAAATGTGCTGGCCTGTACTCACCCTCAGCTCCCTGCATTGCCTCACCCCTGGCACAGACAGGAAATGGCAGCCAAAGGAGGGAGGGAGAATCCAGAGACTAATGGGGAATGGCAGCCAGGCAACAGCCAAGGAGCCTCAAAGTTACCCCATCACAGGCTACCAGTTGGGCAGCTCCAATATAAGTACGGTAAAAAATACTAAACAAATCATTATTCATGACTACTGGGCACTAAATTAGATGAGAAGGATTTCAGTTCTTGGTAACAGGGGAGATATAGCTGTAGGAAATTAAAATTAAATCCTTACCTGGGGGCATGAGTTTCATAAGGACACGTGCTCCATCTCTTAGAGGTGGCATACTTAGGCTACTGCCTAAGTCTGCAACTTGCCAAAGGAATGAGATATATCTAGGATGCAGTGACATGATCTTTAAAAAAAAAAAAATTATATATATATATATATATAAAAAAATGAAAGTTTGTTGTTAAGTTTCAGGTGCTAAAACTTTGTTTTTAATTTGTTTTAGATACTTAAATTTTTTTTTGATCAATACATATGCTTACCACTCCAGGCAAACAGCTTTCAACTTCAGGGTTTGGACCATCACTGTAGTGATTGCCATGGTTGCCAGGTGAACCAGTTGAAGAGTCAGAAGAGCTATCTGGACTTGAAGGCATATTGGAACTTATCTGCGTAAGTTTAGCTGTAATTAGCTGAAAAACAAGTTTGCAGCTGTATTTATTTACAGGCAGTCCTCAACTTACAACTGTTCGAGTTACACTTACGACGTTTATAAATTTACACCGTTTCAAATTTCTGATGTCAGTTTCAACTTTACAACACTTGATCTGACAATGCCACGCCAGCAAACAAGTTTGCTGGGTCACCCATCTCCCTGGAGAACTTCTGTCCAAACTTCCTTGGACACTTTCTTAAAGAAAGCAGACAAGACTTCAGAAAAACCTGCAGCCAAGACTCCTGAGAAGACTCCAGCCAAGAGCCCTTCAAAAAACCCAGCAAAGTCACCTCAAAGAAGTCCCTCCAAATCAACGATTGCTATTTACAATATAAATACATTAACGTATATTACTCATCTATAATTGATCAAGTACAAAATTCTGGGTTATTTTTGGTCAAAATAGGGTATTGGGCCTTGGTTCAAGAACTAATCCCCTTTATATAACATTGTCTCCCACAGGAAAATCAGTTCCGAGTTACAACGCTTCGACTAAGATGTGGTTTTCAGGAACCAATTGTGTCGTGTCATAAGTCTGAGGACCGCCTGTATTTTTAAATGGTACAACCATAAACTTCAGAATTGCATATACTAAATACATTACTGCACAAGATTACATGTCAAGCAATACAAAAGGTGTTAATTCCAACAACAGTCCTATTCTGCAAATATTAAGGAAAAGTGGAATAATATTTGAATTAATAAAATAAACTGACTTATAGCACTTACCGTTTTATCCTTGAGATTCAATTGCCCAATTAACTTCCTATCATCTGCAGGATCTACCAGCTCACCACCAATAAACAGTTCCACTTTTGTATGTGCACTGTTGGCTTTAATACGGTTGAGAATACAACGCCGCACTGAACCAATTGTGTCATTTGTATGAGACCAAATATCCAAGTCTTCAACCTGACGACCTTGGTTTGGAAAACGAACTACCAGTGTGATATGCTTACCACGAAAAGCTCTGCAAAAAGTATAGATGACAAACTAAAGGTGAGCATGAAACAAGTTAAACGAAACAAGTTATTTTCTTGCAATTATCTATTGCAGCTATTTTAAAACCTGATTTTGTATTAGTTTATTAGAACATGCAACTATTTTCTGCAAGTATTACCAGACATGCAAAAGGAATATTTGTGCATTTAGGAGATGGAAATACAAAGTGCGCTTCCATAAAGGTATAAAAACGAGTCATTCCCTATTTGGATTATGAACACTCATAAGATTTAAAGCAACCCTAAATTAATTATGAATAGGAGTCTACCCAACTCAAGGAAGGCAGCCGGCTAATTTCACAGGGAGATTGTGGGGCCAGCCGCCATTTTCACAGACTGATTGTGGCAGGGCCCCCCTTAAATCTGATTGGCCGAGGGGCCCTGGTGACCTTGCCCATCACCAATTCACTGCAAGGGCTATTTGTTGTGCAGCCTTGCCCCTCACTGCCAATTGGTTGTGCAGGCTGTCTATCATGCAGACCCCTGGAGAGCTGTGCATCTGGGCCATAGCATGGTGAGGACTGCTGGCTCCTTCTGGTGAGCCAGCATTTTATTTT